AAAGCAGCAGGAAGCCAATCAGAGGGAACACACATATGGAAAAGGCTGAGAAAGGTGTAAAGCTGGAGCTGCTTCACCTGGAAACCCAATTGGTTTTTTGCAGCACTTGTCAGCGCGCACCTGGGAACCACAAGGCAACTGGGAAGCTCCAGGAGCTATTCCATGAACACCCCAACGCAGACATGGGTATATTTTGCCCAAAAAAACCTCTCTGGCACCAAGAGCCCCTTCCATGACACATCAAGAACCCAGCAGATGAAACCATCCCATCCCAGCAAAGGAAGGAAAGAAGATGAGCAGCAGAAACCCGGGTGGTACTATAATTAACTTTTTTCTTTTATTTACACCACAAGAATAACAAGTTGTCATAATGTGGTACAAAATACTGGACTCCTAATAAAGTTGAAATTGAAGTCGGTACTGTCAGAGAAAGACACCATTGGCCAGTAAAAAAAAAAAAAAAAAAGAGAAAAAAAGAAAAAAAACCAACCAAACAAAAAAAAACCCCAAACAAAATAAAGAGAAAAGAGAAAAATAAAATAAAAACAAAGAAAGAAAAAAAAACGAGAATGAGAAAAAATATTCCAACTCCACCGATTTAAAAGAAAGGACCGTCGGAAAGTCGAGCACAAAGAATGCTACCATCACTGAAAGGAGGGTCCAATACAGGGAGAGTGAAATTGTGTCTAAATTACAGCGTAAACCGGTAGCTGCTACCAATGGTGACGTCATACTGAGCATGTATAGGTATAAAGTAGAATATAATATAGTTACAACTTTTTGATACTACATATCTGTAATAAGCTCTCGGGTGAATAATGTTTCAACCCCTTCCCCCCCCTCCCCGCCCCCACTTTTATATATATATTATATATATAAGTTTGTCATCCTCATAAATTGGAAAATAGCGCCTCCACTATGGAGCACAGAAAAAGTGTTAATTTATTTTCTTTCAATAGGATACTTTTTTTTTTCTTTTTCATCATCATCAATATCAAAGACAAAGTGAAGATGAGCTGAGAACGAGCCCAACTTCGTGACAATGAAGAAACACGTTTTGCCTTTTGCTGTAAAGTCTCGTTTTTAAACCACAGTGTTGCACAGTACACGACTGCTTAAAGTGAAACCGAGCAAAAATACATCATGTAAAAGTAATTTCTTAAAAAAGTTAACGCAGCTGTGCTGAAGAGTTAACTCTTTAAAGTCCTCCTCATCCATCCGTCCGTCCGTCCGTCCGTCCGGCTCCTCGGAATGAACGACTCTGTGTGTGTTGACACAAGGGTTGCATCCAACCTCCCCACCCAGCCGAGAAATCAAAGCAAAAACACCAACCCAAAGGAAAATAATAATAATAACAACAATAATAATAATAATGACACAGGCAGTTTACTTGGTGTGTTCGGCGTAGTTTCCCTAAAAACACTGTTTCCACATAAATACAATAAACTCTATTATTGGTAAGTCACAAGTGCTAGATAAACGTCTTAGTTTTTTTTTCTTTTCTTCTTAAAATGAGAAATGTTTTAAGTAGTCCTTTTTGTTTTTTTTTTTTTATTTATTTACTCTTTTTAACAATAAAAAGCACAATTTCTTCTTATTAAGTTCAGTAAGACTCCAAAAGAAAAAAAAAAAAATTCCCACTCTCCTTCCTTGGTGTGTAGCTGTGTGGGTGAGTGAGTGAGTGTGACAACAACATCCCAACCTTTAGTCTCCACAAATGCCACGAGAGCAAAAAAAAAAACCAAAAAACCAAAAAAACAAATATAAAACCAAAAACCAAACCAAAACAAAAACCAACCCAAAGAAACCCCAAACCACCTCTTTTTTTTTTTGTTGTTTTTGTTTTCTTTTTCTCATTATCGTTTTCAAAGCTGCCAAGTTTGGCGTGCAAAATCTGTATACAATATAAAGACATGCCAACCTTACAGACCATGCAACCTCAAGGTGTAGGAAACTTAAAAAAATATATTCATATATATTTATATATATATTTATATATATCAATGCCCGTAAAAGAACATGGGCCCAAAAAAGTTTACAAAAGGAAGAATGGAATGAGTACATGACCGTGACTAATAAAAAAAAGGAATGTTTTGTATCGAAAGTAAAAAAAAAAAAAAACCAACAAAAAAACCAAACAAACAAACAAAAAAAAACAACCAAAAAACCCCCAATGGTTACTTGTGTACTGCAAACTGGGCCTCACTTCACTGTAAAGAGGATTGAAAGATGTTCCTTTTCTTCCCAAGCAGGTACAAAGGATGCCCAGGGCAGCACTGGCCGGGATGTGGGAGCATCCCAAGCTCCCACCTCGCTGGCACGGCCGCCCCGTGGCAAAGTCATCTGAAATGAAGGAGCTTAATGGCTCAAAAAGGCGAAAAATCCCCCTGGAGAGCCTCAAAACGAGGGCTCCCTCCCTCCTCTCCGTGCCTGCGCTGGGCCCGGAGAGCATCCCCGGGGAAGAGCATCCCCAGGGAAGGTCACAGCGCTCCCAGGGAAAAGGGGGATGCTGCAAACAAATCCACAACGCCGGGAGCTTGGAGGAGACGAGCTCTGTCCTCTCGGGAAAAATCTTCCCGTCCCGGCAAAAAGCTGAGGGAAAGGATGGAAAGGAAGGAAGGGAGGAAGGAAGGAAGGAAGGAAGGTGGCATCCCAACAAGCTCCTTGGGATTTTCCAAAGGAACCGGCTCAGCACAGTCAGCCGGCAGCTCCCGGGAGAGCAAAAAGGAAGGAAAAAGCTTTGCCGCGAGCGGGAGCAGAAATGTCAAAAACCTTCCGGGGAAGAGCTGACGAGACAAAGGGAGGTGTAAACACAGGCCCTGCCCCGGGCACGGGGAGCAAACCCCACGTCAGTCACCAGCGGGATGGATTTGAGATCACAGCAGCAGCGTGGTCAGATGGAAGAAAACCCCAAACCACAACATCCCCAGGAACGCGGTGCTCTCACACGGGGGAATTTTGGGATATGCCGAGGACAGGCCTTGCCACTGGGGCTTTTTGGGGTTCTAGGACGTACTTGGGTTTGCACAACTCAAATACTGTAGTGTCTTGGTTCTGAAACTGCACTAGAAATCGAGGAAGGAAACAAAAGCCTCCAGCGTGGGGTCACGCTCCCGATTCCTCCCGCCAGCGAGTCCTGAACGGAACGAACGCGGCTGCTTCGGGAACTGGAAAGAAGAGAAGTCACTGGAAGCAACCCCACCAGTCAGTCACCATGGGAGCAAAGGATAAAAGAAGGAAGGGTGGTTAAGGAGAAGCGGTGCTGGGGAGAGGGATGTGCTGTCCTGCACTGCGGGAGGAAGGCGCACGGGGAGCTCCACGGCAGCGCTCGCGGCCTCTCCCACCCGGCATTCCCGGGAGGATTCCCTCCTCGGGGTGGGGGGCAAACAAAAAAAGGCCTCCAAAACCTCTCCCAGCATCAGGAAGAAGAAGAAGAAGAAGAAGAGAGGAGAAAAAGAGGGAGAGAGGAGGTGGGGAGTTTGCGGGCATGTCCGGCGGAGAGAAAAGGCCGGCGGTCCCGGAGTATCCAAGGAGCCTTCCCGAGGGCAGGCAGCGCCAGGAGCCGCGGGCAGGACAAAGGCATTGCCCACTGAACACTACCAGGCAAGAAAATTCCTTATTTTCTCTACAGAGCTACTACAAGAGAGCTGAGGAAATATACAGTTGGCGGAATCGGTACAACAAAGGAGCCCCTCGCCGTCCCTCATCCTCCTCCTCCTCCTCGGTAAAATGCGCCCTTTCCCAGAAAAAAACAAACTCTGCTGGTCTGCCCACAGTTCCTTACACCTGCAGAAAGCTGCTCACTGTACAAAAGAGTTGAGGAAAAGGAGAGAAAACAATACAGAAAATTAAAAAAAGAAAAAAAAATTTTTAAAAAGGGGAGGGAAAAAAAAGGAAAATCCATGCATTATAAGCAAGAAAAGAGGGAGGAAGAAAGGTTTAGATGCTATTGCCGTTCAGAAAGGAAACCTGCCAAATGGAAAAGAAATGTCAGAGTCACACAAACAAGGCTTCCGGAGGGTTTCGGGAAATATCCATATAAAAATTAACAGCAAATTCAGCGTCTTTGCTATAAAAAACTCTTTTTTTTTTCTCGTGTTTGTTAGAAAAGGATCACAACTAAAAACCTTAAATTAAAATACAAATGTTTAGGGTAGTTGCCCAGTGGCTAAAGTGTTGGCTTTCTGAAAAACTTCCCAACCTGTCACCTGACAAGTCCTCGAGTTTCAACCTAGATCCTTCTCCAAAAGCACCTTTGACGTTCCAATTCCCAAATCTGTCCCTAGGGAGCTTCCAATGGCTACTGTTAGAGTATGCATTTATTACATATATTTTCTTTCCTTTTTTCTATAAATGCATCATAAATATTTTTCTCAATAATTCATAGGAATCCGGTTTCTAAGCTTGGAATACATTTGGAATATACATTATACACATATATATATTTATACCTAACAATTTAAGCAATATCTCATGCTAGTTGCTTTTAATAAAAAGCATTCCAGTCTTAAAACCTGCATTTGTGTCTAATACATGCTTCAACAACCAAATTGGTAAGTTCAATTACTAGATAATGTAGAAGAGAGAGAAAACATTTGAAAATTGGTTGTTAAAAATGGTTGAATTTCAAAGACCCAACAGTATTTGCCACTTTTTTGGCAACTACCTTAATTTTTTTTTTTCTTTTTTCCTTTTCTCTGAAACAGCAATGAAAGAAAACAAAACAAATCCAAACTTGTCGACAGTTTTTGGAGACGCTCTGTTCAGCTGATGCCTGCTTCCCACCATCATGCCAGCACAAGCCAAAAAGTCTTCCTTCCTGATGGCAGTCCTTGGCTTTCCCAACCAGAGGAAAAATATTCAGGAACTGCTGTGTTCTTTTTTTTTTTTTT